CCCGAGAGAAAAGAAGGTCGCCGTGATCGGCAACGGCGCGAGCGGTATCCAACTCACATCAAATCTCCACAAGGTCGTCTCGCGCCTGGATCACTACGCACGGAACAAGACGTGGGTGACGGCCTCGTTCGCGGGCGACGCGACCTCCATCGAGCCCATCGTCATCCCGAAGGACCTCAGAGAGACCTTCCGCAAGGACCCAGAAGCGTACCTCCAGTACCGCAAGGAGCTGGAGAGCAAATACTTCCGTCACTTCACCGGGTGGCTCAAGGGTTCCAGCGAGAATGACGAGGCGCGAGAAAAGTTCCGCAAGTTCATGAACGATAGGCTCACCAAGAAACCCGAGCTCATCGACGCCCTCATCCCAGAGTTCTCGCCCCACTGCCGTCGTCTAACCCCTGGGCCGGGCTACTTCGAGGCCATCTCTTCCGAAAAGACGGAGTACATCCAAACACGCATCAAGCGGATCACGGGGACAGGTATCGAGACAGAAGACGGCAAGCACCGCGAAGTCGACGCAATCTTTTGCGCGACGGGCGCAAACGTCGATATGGCGCCTCCATTCCCCATCACGGCAAAGGGTCAGGACCTTCGTGAGCTCTGGCGCCCGGATGGACCGTACACCTACTTCGGCTCCGCGACGCCCGGGTTCCCGAACTTGCTCTTCATCCACGGTCCCAACGGGTCAGGACGCTCCGGCACAGTCCCACACAATGTCGAGAACCAGATTACGTACTTTGCACGTATCCTTCGAAAGGCGAGTCGCGAGGGCATCAAGACAATTCAGCCTACCAAGAGGGCGGCAGATAACTTTACGCAATACTCTGACGCCTTCTTCGCGACGACGGTATTGTCGGAGAACTGCAGTTCTTGGTACAACAGCGGCAAAGCCGGTTCTAGGATCCACGGGCTGTGGCCTGGGTCTGCTACGCTGGCCACGATCGTGCAGCGGGAGCCGCGGTGGGAGGATTTTGAGTATGAGTATGTTGGGGACTCGGAGAATCCGTTCTTGTGGTATTTTGGACTTGGATGCACGAAGAGGGAGCTGGATCCGGAAGCTGATGTGACGCCTTATTTGAAAGCTGGAGGCGTGGATGTTAAAGACGTCCACGAGAGTTGGCATAATGTTCCTTAAATTTTGCGTAGAAGCTCAAACATAGATGCACTACGATGAATGCAAAAAAATCATTATCATCATATTCATTCAATTGAAATATCTCACATGCATGATAAGCAGAATAGGGTATGACCTAGACAGACTTGCCGCTGCTTGCTTGGTAGAGCCTGGGTAATCTCTCACAGAAGCATTCATGGTACTCAGACATCGAACAGTACTTGGTTCCAAACCACCGAAAGAGTCTCAAACCATTGCATTGAAAGAGAACGCCAAGCCATCAATGTCGATGATGCCATGCCGAACAACGAACCCGAGAAACAGGATGAGCCAAACGGCCCTTTCTCAAGCCACCGTCTTCAACCCACGTGGATGCGCTATTTGACATGCCAACCATTCCCAAAGACTCGGAATCAAAATGTCGTGCTTTTACTCCCAGCGTAGGAACGCGAGACAGTACCGCGGTGGTGGTGTTGACGTCTGCCTCTATTGAGGTAATTGGCAAAGTGTCGAGGGTGGTACTCCGGAACCCGTGCGCCGGCAGCGGAATGGCGTGCTGTACCCAGTTGATTTCGCAACCCAAATTCGCCGGAGATTTCCACAAAGTCGTCTTAGCGAGTACTCACTTCAAACGCTAAGCTATTGGAGAATTGGAGTAAGCCTGGCAGATGTTACCGGGGGTCTCATAGAATTAGGCAAAGGATGGGAGAAGGGAAGAAAAAAAAGTTTGTCTGGACCCTGCAGTCTGGGCCCGGCATGTGTCAATGGCAACCATGTTACTTTGGGAAGATGGAGGAATTGGGCTCAGAGAACAGAGAGGAGCAATGAGGTTGGCCTGACTGTGACATCCATCTGTATAATCCCTGCATGCTTCTGTCTCTTCTGATCTGATCCATAAGACGAAGGATTCCCGTCTGCTGCGACTTCATCTACGATTAACGACTCGGCAGTTTAGGTCTTGACTTTTGAAGATATCCGGACGCAGTGCTTCTTCCTTCCTTTGCCCATCTAATTTTGTGTTACCTTCGATCGTAATCGGAAGAGCTTCACAATGGCAGAATACGCCGACCCTGGAAAGGGCGATGTCGTCCCTCCCAAGTCGGAGCGTCATCCAGGTTCGTCATCGGCGCAAAAGCACTACCTACAGTATCACCAAAAGACTAACACCAATATTCAACAGTGAAATGGTACCGCTCGACGTTCTACAACATGACCATCCTCGGTCTCTGCAACCTTGCGGCCCCAGGTATCTGGGGCGCCATGAACTCCCTCGGCGCAGGCGGCGCCGCCTCGCCAAAGGTCGTCAACGCCGCCAACGCCCTCACATTCTGCCTGATGGTGGTATCCTGCTACTTCTCCTCCGTCATCGTCCACTACATCGGCATCAAGGGTGCTCTCATCTTTGGAACGTAAGTTCAGCCCACCATTCCACGCCACGAATGTGGAAGAGCGCAACGAGAAACACAAGCTAACATCGCCGAAATTACCAACAGCATCGGCTACGCCCCATTCGCAGCAGGCCTCTACACAAACAACCGCTACGGCGTCGAATGGCTCATGCTCCTCGGCGCCGCCCTCTGCGGCATCTCCGCCGGCGTCTTCTGGATGGCCGAGGCCGCCATCGCCATCGCCTACCCGGAACCCTGGAACCGCGGCAAGGCGCTGGGCTACTGGCTCACCTACCGCCTCTGCGGCCAGATCCTCGGCGGCGCCATCAACCTCGGCCTCAACGCGGACAACGACCAGGCCGGCAAAGTCTCGTACACGGTTTTCATCATCTTTATTGCCATCCAGGCTGCGGGCCCGTTCGTCGGGTTCTTTTTGAATAAGCCCGAGCAGGTGGAGAGGCAGGATGGCAAGAAGGTCAGCTTGGCAATTTTGGAGAATCCGTGGTATGAGATCAAGGCTACGACGAGGAACTTGCTGAAGCCAAAGTTTCTTCTGATTGTGCTTTGGATTGGGCAGGCTGTCTTTGCGGAGGCTGTATTTTTCACGTATCTTGCCTGTAAGTCTCGTCTGAACGCTCTCCTATTGGAGACTTGGAACTAACATTACATTGTAGCATGGTTCTCTGTTCGCTCGCGAGCTCTCGGCTCCTTCCTTTCCGGCATTGTGGCCGTGATTTCTGGTAACCTTCTCGGAGTAAGTAGCTCTCGCAAGCTCGTAGCTAGGACCGAAGGGCATTTGCTGACATCGCTGGCAGCACTGGCTTGATCGCGCCAAGGTCTCCCTCAAGATCCGCACGAGATCGACTTTCTGGACTCTCGTCGTCACCCAGGGCGCCTGGTGGATTTGGGCAACCATCCTCGCGACACGATTCCGCCAGACCCGCCCCGTCCACGACTGGGCCAGCCCTGGCTTCGGAGCCGCTTTTGCGGTCTACATCTTCCTCACGATCGGATTCCAGATCAACTATCTCTTCCTGTACGTTTGCTTCCTGATGGCGGTCTACCACAATCCTTGCCGAAAGCTCGAACGCCAACTAACATGAGAAAACAGATACTTCATCGTCACGAACCTAGCCGAAGGCGAAGAAGAAGTTATCCGCTACGCTGCGCTGCTGCGTGGAGTCGAGTCGGCATGGCAAGCCGTCAGCTACGGCCTCACCTCCATCACCCTCTTTGGCGAGGTCGGTGCAATCTACCTCAACTTTGCGCTGTGGGCCGTGGCCATCGGACCCGCGTGGCTGGTCCTGAGACACTTTGGCTCCGGGCTGTCGGCGCACGTGGAGGAGGTGCGCGAGGTGAGCGGCGTGGTGTCTAGCGAGGATGGCGAATCGGACGTGAAGCACTAGACCATAGATGATGGGGTGGGAATGCGAGTCAGTGCTGGTGATACCCGAGTTGCTGGGACGCGGTGTGCCGGGTGGACAGCTCCCGTCAGCTTGATGCCGATCGTCGAGACTGGGGTTGCGATATTGCTATAGAGATTAATGATTCCCTGTTTCTCCGCGCTAGATAATCTCTGTATGAACCTTAATTAAATGGTCTTTCCGAACATCTGTGTCATGTGTGAGTGCTCCATCAATGAGATGATCGCCACGTCAGAATCATCGTGAGATGGACCGATACCCAGGTCAATTGGCGAATGAAACCTCTAGAGAGACAATCAGTTCCGCGCTTTGAATTGCCCCTCAAAGAAGTGTCTGCATCGCTGCCATATTGCGGATATTAACCATCCGCCAATCTGTCGCGCGGTAATCTGCAACTCTCTGGGTGGACCATGTCATCGGAGCTAACATGACGTGATAGCCTCACGTCGGAAACCTTGAACCCCACGACCTGCGGTCGCCGGCGGGAGCCGCTGTATCTCTTCTTCAGCCAAGAGCATCTTGGCCCGCGAATTACAGCTTAACCGCCTTTTGCAGCCTAAATAGCCGAATGCCTTACACGGAGCTTTTCAAGAGCTATCACTCGAGGGCCCAGGCGAGCTATCGAACAGGAGCTTCCCTGGAAACAATCAGACAGGCGGAGTGCAGGGGTCGTCGGCATTGGCGTGGGGTCCGCCATGGCCCGTTTGTGCGTCGTCGTGCGTCTTGCGCCACCGAGCCGTCCGGTGGCATCATCGCCCCGGCTCCACGGTGCCGGACCCACGCCGAGTATCGGGAGGGGCAAATTGGGGTAAACTTCGAAATGTTCTGTGTAAGACCATCGCCGGGGGGTGTGTCTCCAAAGGGACGTCACGTCGTTCGACTCGAACCCCTCCATGTTACCCCGCGGTGGCCGGGGTTTCGCTAAATGATGGTAATAATTTGAGAAAAGTTTTGTTGTCTTTTGTTATCGCAAAAAGCCAGCAGCTTCTTCTTTTTCGGAACCTTTCTCAGGAGAACGATTCTCGCGAACTTAGGAACTCCAAGTACTCCAAACGCAAAAACCACGAAGAAAACATGGCCGACACCACGGGAAGCGCAAAGCCGAAGAAGAGCCTCGTGCTCAATGCCTTCGTTGAGATGTGTATGGCATCCAGATCTCGCCGCAGAATCTTACATTGAAGTTGACAGTTTCCATGTAGGCAGTGGACATCAATCCCCCGGACTCTGGAGACATCCCGAAGACGAGTCGTGGCGCTTCAACGAGATCAGCCATTGGGTTGAGCTGGCCAAGCTGCTCGAGGAGGCCAAGTTCCACGGAATCTTCATCGCTGATGTTCTTGGTGAGTTTGTCGTTCAGGAGATCGAACCTGGAAGATCAGCTAACACGAAGGAGGCGGCTACGATGTCTACTCGCAGTCCCTCGATCCCGCAAAGGTTTCCGGTGCCCAATGGCCCGTCAACGAGCCATTGGCCCCCGTGGCTGCCATGGCTGCGGTAACGAAGAGCATTGGCTTTGGTGTGACGGTATCGACGACATATGAGCAGCCTTACCACCTTGCGAGGCGTTTGTCGACTCTTGACCACCTGACGGGCGGTCGGTAAGTGGCCTAACGTCTGGTCGCAGAGTTCTCTTGCTAACAGACTCATAGTCTCGGTTGGAATGTCAGTTTCCGGGCGAAATCTTTTGAGGAAGTGCATACTGACTCGCACAGATCGTGACGAGCTACCTGGATTCCGCAGCAAAGAACATGGGTCTCGCCCAGCAGCCCCAGGTAAGATGGCGCAAAAACAGCATCATCGCAGTTTCGGAAGGAAGCTAACAAGAGCAGCACGACGACCGATACGCACAAGCCGAGGAGTACATCAAGGTCATGTACAAGCTCTTCGAGTCCTCATGGCGAGACGACGCTGTCAAGCTCGACCGCAAGTCAGGCATCTACACCCAGCCCGACCTCGTCCGCAAAATCGACCACAACGGCCGCTTCTTCAGCGTCCCCGGCCCGCACATCGTCCAACCTAGCCCTCAACGCACCCCTCTCCTCCTGCAAGCCGGAACCTCCAAAGCAGGCAAACAATTCGCGGCGCAGCACGCCGAAGCGATCTTCGTCTCGGCGCACGCGCCCGCCGTATGCGCAAAGAACATTGCCGAGATCCGAGAGCTCGCGCGGACGCAGTACGGCCGTGATGGCAAGGACATCAAGGTGCTCGCGCTCGTGACGCCGATCCTGGGCGCCACGGAGGAGGAGGCGCAGGCGAAGCTGGCTGATTACCGCAAGTACGCCTCGCACGAGGGCGCGCTGGCGCTGTTTGGTGGCTGGACGGGTATTGATCTGAGCAAGTATGGTGATGAGGAGGAGCTGAGGCAAGTGGAGAGCAATGCTGTCAAGTCGACTGTTGAAGGGTACGCGCGGTTCTCGCCGGGTACGTCAAAGTGGACGAAACACACTATTGCCGAGCACGTCAGCATTGGTGGCAACGGGCCCATCTTCGTCGGTACGGCTTCGCAGGTTGCGGATGGGCTTGAGACGTGGATTGAGGAGGCCGATGTTGATGGATTCAACTTTGTAAGTGCTGATGCCATTGTGTTGAACTTTGTGTCTGGGGCACTTGGTGGTGAGAAATGTGATTGCTGACTTTGGATGTTAGGCGTATGCCCTCTTCCCTCAGTCCTTCAAGGACATCATCGACCTTCTCCTGCCTGAGCTGCGTCGTCGCGGTCTCTTCTGGGACGATTACGCTGTTCCCGGTGGAACGTACAGAGAGAACTTTTACCGCAAGCAGGGCCAGTCGGGGCCACTGGACGAGCACGTCGCGGCATCATACAGATGGAAGGCGGGAGTTTCGGCTGAGGAGGCGAAGATTCCGGAGTAAACGATCAGGATGCATCGTGATGTGAAGCATTGAAGCTCATTGAGGATAGATGAAAAAAGGAAAAATAAGAAAGAAAAAATAAGAAAGAAAAAATGAAGCTATTCCCAACATCCGAGACCAGGCAAATGACGGGTTTACTTCCTCTTTGAGTGTTGACGAAGCGAAAGCGTGAGGAGGGCAGTTTCTCGTTCCAGACCTAAGGTGCCTTTCGTAAGGTACGTATCGCGATGTGGAGCCAGATCGTCCGGGAAGCAGTGGATCCGCCTTGACGAATGGGACGAAGCAGCGCACTCTTAAGGCCGAGATTCGTCCGGCCGAGCTGTGCCGAAGGTTGAGCTCGCATCTACGGAAGTTTGAAAAACGACTCCAGTTTATTTTTGTCGCTGGCATCTCGGAAACCGCCTTGACGGTGGGGACTTTAAGCCATCTAGGTACTTGAAGCTCAGGGACATGATTTTGAGTTATCGTTGAGAGACTTATAGGAAATGCAGAGATTGCACGAATCAATAGACAATACAAAAAATAGTGGAAAATCTCCTGACTGAACCTCAGCCCAGAATTGCTTGGGAAACAGCGGAATTCACGAGGCTTGATTGGTCAATGGCTGTTGATTCTCGGCCCAGACCGAAAGGATGCGTGTCGAGGTGAGGTACTACCTGGAATTAAGCCCTACAGGCTGCCAACAGCAGACTACTCAGGTACATTACAAGCCTTACACTACCTACACAGTAAGGTACTTTAGCTAGCGAAAGAGACAAGAAGGTTTTCTCGCTCTAGCGGCGGGCATGCGGCTGCGCCCAGGAGGATGTTACCGACTGTTACCGAGCCGCGAACCATCATTGAACCAATCATACTGTCTGATTTGATGACATAATCATTCAGGGCGCGCTCTCTGCCTCTCAGAAAGCTTGGAGCTATCTTGGAGCTCCCTGGTCTCCAAGGGTTGGTGCTGCGTCATTCCCCACCGAGGGGCTCAAGGAGTGACCTGATCTTTTTTCCCATACCTCGAGTCCTTGACTCTTGGTCTTGTCTCCTGAATCCTGAGGTGAATGGAGACGCGCTCTTTCCATCGGAACCAAACAAAAGTGACAGTATAAAGTCTCGCCGGCGCCCACTTTCTGCCCCAGAGCCACCCCGTTTCTCCATATCTTCCTCTCCTTGTTCTTGTCGTCGGCCAGGCTTCGAATCTCTAACCTCTCCCCTCCTTTTCTTTCCACGGGCATTGACCCTCTGTGAACCTCTCCACTCCTCACTCTCATTTGCGTGATCACATCTCGCGAACATGGCGTCTCCCATCGCTTCCGCCGCCCTGCGGGCTCGCGTCAAGCGTCCCTCGATGCTCAAGAAGCTCACCAAGCCTCAGGATCTTCTGCAGCACTTCCCCAATGGCGCCTACATCGGCTGGTCCGGCTTCACCGGCGTCGGGTACCCCAAGAAGATGCCCACCTACTTGGCGGACCACGTCGAGCAGAACTCGTAAGAACCTCTTGGAAATGCTAATAGATTTGGGCCCTTTAAGCTAATCGAATTGTTTCCGCCCAAAACAGCCTCCAGGGCCAGCTCAAGTACAGTCTATTTGTCGGTGCCTCCTCCGGCGCCGAGACCGAGAACCGCTGGGCCAGCTTGGATATGATCAATCGCCGAAGCCCCCATCAGGTCGGCAAGGCCATCTCCAAGGGCATCAACGAAGGCAGAATCCACTTCTTCGACAAGCACCTGTCGCAGTTCCCCGTCGATCTCGTATACGGCTTCTACACCAAGGACCGCCCAAACAAGAACCTTGACGTCGTCGTAGTCGAGGCCACAGAGATCAAAGAGGACGGCAGCATTGTCCCTGGCGCCTCCATCGGTGCCACGCCGGAGCTGGTACAGATGGCGGACAAGATCATCATCGAAGTCAACACCTCGCTACCTAACTTTGACGGTCTCCACGACATCACCATGACCGACGTGCCCCCGCGCCGCAAGCCCTACCTCATCACCAGCGTTGAGGACCGCATCGGAACAAACTCCATCCCCATTGACCCCGAGAAGGTCGTCGGCATCATCGAGTCCGACTACCCCGACCAGACAGGCCCCAACACCCCCGAGGACGACGGTTCCAGGGCCATTGCCAGACACCTGATTGAGTACTTTGAGCACGAAGTCAAGCACGGCCGCCTCCCCAAGAACCTGCTTCCCCTGCAGTCCGGTATCGGCAACATCGCCAACGCCGTCGTCGGCGGCCTCAAGGACAGCAACTTCTGGAACCTCAAGGTCTGGACCGAGGTCATCCAGGACACCTTCCTCGACCTCTTCGATACGGGCCACCTCGACTTCGCGACCGCCACCTCGGTCCGCTTCTCCCCCGAAGGCTTCAAGCGCTTCTACGACAACTGGGAAAACTACCACGACAAGCTCCTCCTCCGCAGCCAACAGGTCTCCAATTCGCCCGAGATCATCCGCCGCCTGGGCGTCATCGCTATGAACACACCCGTCGAGGTGGACATCTACGCGCACGCCAACAGCACGTGCGTCATGGGCTCCCGCATGCTCAACGGCCTCGGCGGCAGCGCCGACTTCCTCCGCAACGCAAAGTACAGCATCGTCCATACCCCCTCGACGCGCCCGTCCAAGACGGATCCCCACGGCGTCAGCTGTATCGTCCCCATGTGTACGCACATTGACCAGACAGAGCACGATCTGGATGTCATCGTCACCGAGCAAGGTCTCGCTGATGTTCGTGGCTTGAGTCCCCGCGAGCGCGCGCGCGTCATCATCAAGAAGTGCGCCCACCCGGTGTACCAGCCCATCCTCCTTGACTACTTTGAGAAGGCCGAGTTTGAGTGCCTGCGCAAGGGCATGGGCCACGAGCCTCACCTGCTCTTCAACTCCTTTGATCTCCACAGGGCCTTGGCCGAGGAAGGCAGCATGCAGAAGGTGAAGAGCTTCAAATGAACAGGCCAGCATCGCCCGACGCCACAGTCAAGGATAAGAGCTTCAAAACAATCATGAGCTAAAACCGTTTAGAGCTACCGGAGAAAGGCATTGTTGGATTTGCTTGCATTGGTGTATTGGTGCATTTGCAGGGCGGGCCTGCGATCTCGGAGCATACTCTGGTAGAATACCTAGTCCTTTTATTTTGTTGATAGAGAAATGATACCTCGCTGGATAATGGAGCATTTACATTACATGCCAAGCATTGGCAGTGGATACCGCTTGCTGTCAAATATGAAGATCAATCTCTCAGCCTCCGATACCACTCAGCGCCGGCGCGCCGGAGATATATCATTCGGCGGCACAACCTCGGCCGCCCGACCACCGACCCGGAATCCCGATAGTCTCGGCCCGTACAAACTTTCAACTCGAGGCTCAAACGCTTCAGACCCCGGCCCTCCTTCATCTCCGACTACGCTCAACAACATCCTCCAACGCATCAACCGCCTCCCCAGGCCCATCACCATGCCCGCCAAAATCCACGCTCACCCTCTCGGCCGCACTCCGGAACTTTTCCTCACCGATGACTCGCTCCACCGCGCGCCTCAACATATTTTCACTTGGCGCGTCGGTCGCGAGATCGATCCCGGCGCCGCTCCACGCCACCCGCGAACTCACATCGGCCTTATCCTCGCTCCGACCCGCGCAAACCAAAGGTACGCCGAAGCGCAGCGCCGCGAGCACGCCGTTGTAGCCTGCGTTGGTGACCATTACGCCCACGTGCGGGAGGAAGCGGGCGTGTGGGATGAAGGTGGCTACGCGGGCGTTAGACGGGATAGAGGATGCTGGGAGATGAGTTTCTGCGTTTGGGGTGGTGGCGATGACGAGGAGGTCTGTTCGGTGGGCGAGGGCGGCGAGGGTCGGGGTGATGAGGTTTGCGGCGTTTGTTGCGTATGTGCCTTGTGTTACGTGGATTACCTTTTCTCGCGGGTATGCGAGCATCTCATCCCACCATTTCGGTAGAGGCGGGAGCTCATCTTCGTTGAAGAGCGGGAGCAGCGGTCCGACGAATTTCACGGCCGGATGCAGGTTCTTGCGTGGGAATTCAAAGGCTGGTGTCGTGGGCATGATGTGCAACACATCTGACCTCGTAGAATCATAGAACCCCGACGCCGGTAAGGGGGGAAGCCCCAGCTTGTCCCGATGGGCGTTGAGCGCGGTCGTAAGTTTCGGGTAGAGAAGCCAGCTCGCGGCCGCGTGGGCGAGGGAATTGAGCCACCGGCCGAAGAAGGTTGCCGGCGGGAGCCAGCCCGTACCCCACGGCGGGACCTCCGGGTCGAGGCTTACGAGCGGGTTAATCCCCAGTGTCGCGTACGGTAAGCCCGTGAGGTCCCGGAGGCAGTGGGCGCCGTAAGCGCAGAGGTCTACGAGCAGGATGTCCGCCTTGAACGCCGGCGTTCCGTCGGAGCCGTCGAGGATGGCGCGGTAGGCTGCGACTTGATCTGGTACCCTGTCGAGGAAGAGCTTACGGAGGGTGGAGACGACGGCGGCTAGGCCCGAGGTCTCCGGGTCCGGCGCGAGGGCTGTCTCGTCGTGCGCGGCGAGCGGGGGCGGGGAGGGGATGAAGAGTGCGCCGGTTTGTGGTATCATGTGGGCGTGGGAGGCGGACGTGAGCCAGGCTACGGTGTGGCCTCTACGGGTGAGAGCGAGTGCGATGGGTTGCATTGGGTGGATGTGGCCTGCAAAGGGCATCGTTGCGATGAGGACCTTCATCGTAGTTTGAATTGCCGGAGGTAACTCGAGGAGAGTGTTTGCTCGGTGTGCGTGATATTGCTAGGTTGCAGGCGTCCTGATTGAAAACAACGATGATTCTCTACATGGTAGTCTCGTATCCATGCCCACCGCTGTGAGTAAGACGTCAAGATGTGAGGGTGATTGCCCCTCCCCTGCCGCACCAATCTCACCGAGGCGCGGATGCCCCGGTCGGTTAGTGTAGGATGGCACGTCAATTAAGGTTAAATGAGACGTCGTGATGGATGGCGTTTATCCGCTCGGCATGCCGCTTCAGACGCAGCGTTCTTTTCAAAGAGCTCGCTTGTGAAAGTATGACGGTCTACCTAGGGTTACATCTTGCGGTCTAGGTGTTCACAAGATCTCGACATATATGCCTTCTATCACCGAGTTGACCGAAGGTCATTGCCTCAACCGTAGTTAGGCGGGGCTTTCGGTGAGATTCAATTACCCAGGATCTGAAGTGGAATGAAACGCCGCGTTGGCTCCCGCTTCTCAAGAGGATTCTTAAAACCAGAAATATTGACTCTTTGAAGCTGGATGAAAAGTGACGAGCTAAACTTGAATATAGTCCTAACCTGCCAGCAAATTGATCCCATCGGAAGCTATACTTCTACTCCACGCTTTCCCCAAGGACCATCAATGCCTTATGGTCACCCCCAAGTCCGCGGGTGCGAAGGACGATTTTTCGCACATATACCACGTCTTGAGTAATCAACCAACGGTAAGGTGTCTCACTCAACAAATCGTTTTATAACATTGAAGTCAATAGAATCAGAATCATAAAGCTGTTATGATTGTTGCAGTATATGGGCCCACTCTAGTCTCAACCAATTGGGTAGATCGAGAATGTCACCAGTCCTCTCACTAAAATGTGTCATATCTTCACCAAGCGGAACCTGGCCGTCGATAATTGAGCCAAAAAGCCGTGTCATAATTGTCAGCAGACATGATCATTCGTGATGGCATCTCTATCTCGTCCTAGGATCAAACAATGCTTGCAAAATCGTGGAGTTGACTTGCTGACCGGGCAAAGAGTTCGCTATGACCGATCGGCGTTAGCTGCCTAGAAGCATGTGGTCGCAGAAAAACCTGGAAGGATTCAACATTTCAGGACAGATCTAACCATCTATCGACAACACCATCAGTCCGAGCATAACGAAGTCGTGGCCTTTAAGAAAACAATAACATATAAAACAGCATTTCCTCATGCCGTAGCCTCATGATTCTTTTGCGACTGGTCTGAACAAATGGCTGAGACCGAATGCAAATTGGATCTATATCTTAGCTCCTTGCCAACTATTGACACCATGCGACCATTGCTTCGCGGCATATTCTTCTTCTCCCTCCTCGCACTCGCCGCCGCCAAATGCCCAACATACATCGACACCGTAGTCCCTTCGGGACAAACCCGTCGCCATGGCAATCGCGAGCCTGGCGACCCCATTCTGGCAACCATGCACGACGTCCACAAAACACTCTCCGACTGCGACTCCATCAAAAGCCTCAAACTCCGCGTCACGAGCCTAGGATGCTCTGAACATCCCGACCGTTGGAACTTCCCACTCGACCTGGCCTCGGGATCCATATACCCCTCGGAACTAGAGTCGCTGGACCTAGAGGGCTATCGTTTCGACGATCGAATTTGGGATGAGGTCTCGCAACCGCCGTTCCGGACGGGTTCCAAGTTTTGGGACAGGATGGAGTGGATCGGTTCCGGTAGAGCCTGGAAGTGGGTGAGGTATCTCCCGTTGTCCGCGGAGCAAAAGGCCAAGACGAATCTGGACTTGTGGTTGGATGCCATGGACTTCGGGAGCATCAAGAACCTTACCCTCAGGCCCTATATCGATGAACATCCCGAAGTTGCGAAGCTGATTCCACATTTGAAGTCGCTTGAGTCGTTGAAGGTCTATGGCGCCTGGGCAAAAGACCTCATCTTGGGTATGCCCGAGAACTCGCTTACGCATCTGTCGTGGATATTCAGCCACGAGACCGGCGCTTCCGTGTTACCCGTCATACGACACCATGCGCAGTCTCTCAAGAGCCTCGAATGGCGCGAGGCGGAAAGTGGAATTCGGCAGCGGAGAGTGATGACGGCGGAAGAAATCGCAGAACTCGGTCGCATGGTGCCGAACCTGCAGAGCATTACCCTCGACCTGAACCGCAACGGCACATGGCCGATGGAGCACTTTGACGCGCTGGTGACGAATTTCCCAAATTTGACCAACATTACAATCTTCTTGGAGTTTGCGAGCGAGTGCCGACGACAGCTGGGTGCCTCCACAGAGGGGTTTTATGGCTACGAGCAGTGGAAGATGGGTGAGGCGTCGGATTGTAGCAGCGGAGTAGGGTCCATGGCCCAGCCGCCGCTCGAACTTAACCAGGCCATGCAGCTATGGGGACACTTGCGGGAGAAGAAGATTGGCGATTTGTTGAAAAAGGTCGTTTTCTATGCGGGCGACTGGGAGAGGCCGTGGGATGGGGCGTTGGCTGAGAGTGAATGGCTCGAGGGTAGGAGATCGTTCTTCTGGTGCGAGGCTTCAGACAACCCGCCAAAAAGAATTAATGGCGCGTGTACGGGGCTGACAGCAGACGTCCCTACGAGGGGTAGCTCCTCTGGGTATGATGAAGACGGATTCGATGCTCCTGGCTGGCAAAGCGATATGGCTCGGCGAGCCGTGCGGATGGAGCTTTGATGTGGAGGACTCTTGAAGATAAAGCGTAATAATCATGATGGCGTTTTGTGTAATCCGGATGTTGCCTCACCATCTGCGCGAGCGTCCCTCTCCATGAGCTCCCTGATCCAACTTCCGATGCCAACAGAGACGCAGACGGTACTCCACCTGGGTCCGTCACCGAAGCACACAAAGTTCTGAGACAGCCACCCCACAAGCGCCTGCATCATCTCCCCATCAGAGGGCGTCCCCTTCCCCTCCGCAACAGCTTGCATCCTCACAGCCTGATCGGTGGTAATCTGGTTGAGAATGTTTCCCGCAACCTCTTCCGGCGTCTTCCAGTACCTGCTCGGCCTCCCCTTCTTCTCGCACTCATCCCTAACGAGCTGATTAATCTCCCCGCAGGCCCACTCGGCGAACTGGTCCGAGAGCTTGCGGAACATGTATCCCTTGTTCTTGTAGTCCATCCTCGCCTGGGCGAGCGAGAGGAGGTACTTGCGGTCGGTGAGGTGCTTGGAGTGGCTGAACATGCGGTCCAGGGCTTTGATGGCGGGCGGGGAGGGGCGGGCTTCCCAGAGGTCGACTGTGTAGTTCATTGTGGACCAGAAGATGCAGCCGGCGAGGGTGTGCATGCCCGGGCCGAGGTAGGGGACGATGTCGAGTGGTGGTTCGAGGATGCGGATGAGGCGGTCTGTGTCTACCCAGAGGCCGTAGTCTAGGCGGGGACTTGATCTACCGCTGGCACGAAGGCGCCTTTCTGATGTAGATGATGGGTTCTCTGGTACGGTTGGAGGTTGGGTTGTTGCTGGTGGTGGTGGTGGTCCCCGCGACAGCTTGTCGGGTGGTGGTTGTGATGATGCTACTCCTCTAACATCTTGATTGTCAACATCATCCATGGCATCATCTTCAGTGATGTCGGCGAGGTCTCGTGCACGACGGAGTACGACCCTTAGATCATCCGATAAGGGCTGTCCCTTGAGAGTCCTATTGATCTCGGCTATAGCATCCTTGAGATTCCTATTCTCCTGCTCTAGCTTCTGAACCTTGGAAGCATGTCGCTTGCGGTACTCGCGCTGAGCAATGACACCGCGCTCACGACGCCGGGCCTAGAACGAATTACCTTAGTCAATCTTGTTCAAGGTACAATCTGGAGGAGCATCTCATAGGTTGCGTTACCTCGGCGTCGGCTGGACTCATTCCGTTTTCTGGGTACGGCGGTCTCGTTATAGCAGTCTGGTGTTACGGCAAGTGAACGGGCTCAACATGGGCCGAATCAACGTTATTGAAGATGAAAACTGCCAAGGGTGGTTTTGTCTTTGTTAACATTGAGGAAGGATTAATCAGCGAGGACTGGGAGAGTGCGTATCATGTCAGCAATCAGTGCGGGGCCCACTCCGGACGCCGTCCCATAACGTTATCCGTCCGACTCGGCTCAGCGCCGGCCCAGCGCCATTGATGTGGGTCTGGACAACTTTTGTCCGAGTCCGACCCTCAAACGTTGACGGCGTTAAGCGTCGTGCAGAATTTGCAATCCTCCTTGTTTGAGCTCGATACTGAACATTTCAAACACTGGCTGACATAGCAAAGGGACGACAATGTGGGCACTGGGAAAGAGGCTAGGCAAGCGATGGGAATACTGCTGACTGAGTGAACAGAAGACACGATGTTCTCAAGATCGGCATCGTCAGCACCAGTGTTGAATATCCAGATACTTAAGTAAAGGAAGAGACGGGAGAGATGAATGTTCACAATTCTCCCTCACCTTTAGAAATCACTCCCACTTCCACTTTCACTTTGAAAGTGCAAGAACCAGTAGCTTAAGAGACCATTCCAAGACTTGAATTAGCCGAAACCATGTCTTTCCCTGCTCCCACCAAAACTTACCGGACACAGTCGTATGCCGCGATTTCTTCATCTCGCCCAGAACTTTCAACCAAAGGCAAGAGTGCCTTCATCTCGGGTGGCGGCGCAGGTATTGGTGCCTCCATCGCTAAATCGCTCGCAAAGTCCGGCATCGCAAGCCTCGGCCTCCTAGGACGCACGATTAAGTCCCTCGAGGAGACTAAAGCGGCCATTGAAGCATTGAACGCAGAGACAAAGGTGTTTCTCTACACTGTCGACGTCACAGACGCAAAGGCAACCACCGATGCAGTCGCCTCCTTCGCCAGCTCCGTCAATGGAGGCAAGATTGACATCCTCGTTGCCAACGCAGCTTACATGTCTGACCTCAAGACCATAAGCGACTCGGACCCGGAAGACTGGTGGCGTGCTTTCGAAATTTCTATCCGCGGCAACTTCAACCTCCTCCGCGCATTCCAGCCCGTCGCGAAACCCAGCGCCGCGGTAATTCACATCTCCACGGCTGCCATCCATCTTCCCTACATGTTTGGCTACTCTTCCTACCGCGCCTCCAAGAGCGGCGCAACAAAATTGTTCGAGTACTTCCGCGACGAGAACCCGGGCTTCTTTGTCTTGCAGGTACACCCTGGCCTCATTGGCGGCACGGTCATGTCGGAGAAATTTGCACCGAGCGTGGAGAAGTTTGGGCTCACGTACGATGATATCGCCCTACCCGGGGACTTCGTTGTGTGGGCAGTCAGCGAGGAAGCCAAATTTTTGAATGGGCGGTTCGTCCACGCGAACTGGGATGTTGAGGAGCTGGTTGCGCTGAAGGAGAGTCTTGAGAAGGATCAGAGTCGGTTTACTGTTGGGTTGCAAGGCTGGTACTAGACCATGCAGAAGCTGTCCATGTCTATTATCAGGTCCGCCCGTAAGCATCTGTGAAACTCCCTTACCGTAACTAGTAGTCTAAGAGTGGTAGAAAAAACTGAAGGTGTCTTCCGAAGCTCGCTGAAACGACCTTCTACAGCACTCAAGTATAGCAACAAGAAGAAAATAGCAAATACAACATTCTCCCCGCCGTCCAAGCGTTGATAATTACACCGGATAACACCCCTGCTAAACGACTTTTCGTTGCTTCCATGGCTTATTTCTTTGAGAGGAATGTTGACGCGTCTCGCCGTGGATTGGGCGAGGCTGCCTGCAAGCGGATGACTCCGGCTCAGGGATCCAAAACATCTTCTCAAACTCCGGTGGGATAGGCGCTCGTTTAGAAAATGTGGTCCAAATCTCCAACACCGTATTGTCCTACTTGGAGTTATAGATCGCACGCGCTCGCCTGCCTTGTGCTCTGGCCCTCTTTGCGTTCTCACGCAACAGCCCGAGAAGGGAAGCCAGCTTTGTCAGGGCTACGTGGTTCTCCCATTCCCATTTTTCCATCAGCGGCTCGCAGTCTTCTATCCGAACGCCGGTAAACTCCCCTTCTTCGTGTTGGCCTATGACGAGGTGGGGCGTTCTTCCAAAGTACATCTGGTTCATTGTGTCCCATGCTTCCATTCTTGGCCGGGCCTTGAGCTCCATTATCACGGAGGGGGGAGTTTCTTGGCCCCTGTGAATAGCTCGTATTTCGCTGCTGATCCTGGCTTTCCCTTTCAGAGTGTTCTTCTGGGGGGTACTTTGTATGACGCTGGGTGGTGCTTCAACGTCGGCATCGTTTTCTGTTGCATTCTCCTCCGGCCCGTAGTAAGCACCATCGACCTCATGACGCACTAGGCACTTCATCTCGCCAATATTGTACTGGATAACTCTCTGATGTGAGACGGAACTCTCCAGACCCGCGTCGTACTTGGTGAATGCTTCTTCAAATGCATGTCCTCAACTCTCTTCTCCAGATTTTGGAGACATTCTGAAGCAATTATTCTCCTTGCGCCAGGCGATGAAGAGCGTGTTGTTGACCAAGTCCAACTCGACCCTAAAGGACTTTTGGCTTTTGCCTCTAGCAAAATCGAAAAGGTTTTGCAACCCACCCCGGCTGATGACGATGTCCACATCGCCAAAGTTGGCTGACGGATTCATGATGCTGGCAGCTCTCATCATTGGCTCGAATGGCATCACAGGGTTCCTGTAGACGTTGTGGTCGATGTACTGGATTCCGTGGTCGTGCTCCAGTTTGATAGGAAGCGAAGGCTTCTTGTATTTGGCAGCTGCGCCTAATTTGTTTGCATGATTAGTTTAGAAGTGTGGTCAGACTCAACAAGAGAGTTGCTTACCAGGTACAAAGATCGTCGGCTCAAAGGCGTCTGACCAAATGTATGAGCACACCACAGAGAGGTCACTCACAGTCGAGGCCATTGGCCCTTCAATAGCTCCAATGAGTTGATTGGAAACAGTGCCAAAATGCTTGAAAGCTGCAATGTATAGCCATTCAGCCTTTTTCTTCGTGCCGCTCTCGACGCGTTTCGCAATGCCGTCGACGTCTGGCTCCCAGAACAGGTTCTTGGGTCTCTGCATTTCCCGTTTAAAAGGTGGCTCTGCAGCGGAATTTCTGTGGATCTCCTGTCTCGGGTCGATCTTGATTGCTTTGGTGTGGCTTCTGGGAGATTGATGCTTCGTGGAGGGGATCACCTCCGGAGTTTGAGGCAAAAATGATGGCCGAAAGACGCCTGCCTCGGGATTCATGCCGGAGGCCTTCTCCCTCATTATAATTGACAGATTAACGTCTTATGGGATGAAAGCACGTCCGAGCAAGGCTAAATTTGAGCGCGATGTCAGAATACCAGACAACAACCGTAGACGTCAAATTCATGGTTTTGAGAGCTCCACGGCACATAATTACAATTGAAGCTTGTAAATATCAGTACACTGCACTTGGAACACAATTCTATACAGAGGAAATCGGACATCAGGATGGAATCATGATTGCGGGCGGATTGACACACGAAGGGGGCCAAAGACAAGAATTTTAGACGAGGTCGTTTTTCACTCACCTTGGTCAGCTGACACACACTCGAAGCACGTGACGGCGTAGCTAGTGTCGAAAAGATATCGAACACCTGATTCGAGTGGTTCTCTGAGACCTGGGGCGTGAAGTTGCAAGCGTCAATATGGAAACTTTGAACGAATACTGCGTCATACTCTTTCTCTGACTATCACCAGAAGTGGAATGCCGATAAAAGGAGGTTGAGGAAAGGGGTCCACAGCACAGGAGATGAGATAGACTTTTCCTATCCAGTAAGTAGCCCACTTATCCTGTTAGTTCGGCCAATAGAAGCATTGCCTTATCAAGGTCGCCTCACCTCCGGCAACAGCATCAAGTTCTCTAGGTATTAACATGAATTTCCGCGACGCATTTGAAATTCCGCAATGGTTGGTAGAAATAAATAGACAATTGCGGCCGTTACTTTGGCTTGAGACTGGATTACTGCTATGGGTCAAAACGCCGAGACAAGTGGGTGGGGTACCGATCTAAGTCAAAGCCACCTCCCGAATAGTCGAGCTCCGGATGAAAAGACCGAGACGAAGCCACTACGACTATCGGAAGGACCTTGAAAGAAACCGGGACCGTCCGCAATCTGAGAATGATGCTTTAAGGTTGGGCAGTGCCTATATACACATCACGGGAATGGCCCGCACTTGGTCTTGTACCAATATCTGGCCCGACACGAAGCCCCCTATTCTCTTCCATCGAATCCTACACCTTTAGCCATTTCGTGTAATGATTCATTAAATAAATATCTTGTTTGAATTCGAAGAAAGTTTGGCAAGTTTAATCCTCGGATACAACCTCAGTGGGATGACATGGGATCCAGACCCATCTCCAAGGAGCTGGCTGCGAGTCCAGAGCCGTTGGGATGACGGTGGTGGAGCCAAGACATCGTTCAGCCTCCCGGATGCGGCCCGCCAACGGGGCTCAAAGGCAAAAGATTCCCCAACCGGCGACTCCCCGCAGTGATCAGCTGGTCCACTATCACAATATGCGGTATGAGGCGCCTGTGTATTTGGCTCTCCGGATACTGAAGAACCCTTGGCGGAGACGAACGCGTACCTCTCTATTGTCCGAGGTGACGAGAATTCGGACCTCCTGCTTCTGCACTCAACACTTCAGAGTACTCCGTAACTGTCATTGGGAAGATATTTGGCGTCGGTAAATCTATAAGAACCCTTTTCTTCTCCTAAGTTGGCAGAACAACTCCTAACATCTTCACAGCACGCTCAGTCGACTTAGCAGCTCCATTTCCATTCCTCAGTGCCTTTAATACTTCGATAGAAAAGAACATCCTTTTCCCCCAATATGAAGCCATCAACTGTTATCCTCGGGTTCTTCTCCTCCCTCGTCATTGCCGCTCCAACTACGCCCGCGGTCTCCAATCTTGTTGAAAGACTCTCCATTCTTGCTCCGGTCTGTCAAGGAACTCCAGTATGCTGCTCGACTGATGTCGTCAGCGGCGTAGTGTCTTCAAACTGCGTAGCACGTAAGATATCCAGATCGATCCTTGGTTTACAGGAGCCCAACGTGAATTTTTTCAAGCTGACCAATGAGCACAGCTGTCACGCCTCCAATCACCACCCTCGGATTTCAAGCTGCCTGCCTGCTCGATGGGAATCGCATTGCCCGATGCTGCTCTCTCAGCGTTGTAAGTGTCCTAACAGTGGCCCTGACTCTGTGCTGTGGCTGACCTCCAAACACTAGGCCGGTTTGGCAATCCTCTGTAAGGCGCCTGGCACCTAAGGAGCTCTCTGAATATCTTGCCACGTCTTTGACATTTCCGAGAACAGTGTGCTCCGACAAACGATTTCATTACTTAGTACTACTTAGGATTTTTAATAATTTAATACTTGTCATTTCCATCCACGGTTTCCAAGCTTTGTTGCATCGTATCCCATGCGCGCAACATCATATGTGGTATCATGATGCTTCACAATTATTGGCTGTCTGCAATGTTCAGAGATCCAGTTCTAATTAAGTCCTTTAATATTGGTTTGCATTGGAACCCGGGGCTCTGTGACATTGAAGATACCGCATCCAGAGGTGTCTCCAGTGTACATACTTTCCAGTATCATTCTATGGGTGGACCATGACCAGTTAGTACATATATGGACCTTTGATTGGCGAATGGAAGTCACCGTGTACTGGTTTCTATCGGTGCTTGTTCAATACATTTTTTTTTGATTGTACATGTAACATAATCTTTGCCGAGACGGGAGCAGGTTACAGCCAAATGCTCAGAGGTAGACATAGTTCATCTACAATGCTCGGGCTGGGTTGAAAGTTCCTGGAGGCGCACCGCCTCATGCTAGCTCGACTAATGATCAGAAATGGGACCTGTAGTTACTGGATTGCTCTTCACTACTGAGCACGAAATGTTTGATCCGAATGAGCGAGGCGCCGATTTAGAGGGAGACTGGATGATACTCGGACACGGAGCCGGAAGATCCAGAGCGGGGCCGGGCAGTTATAGTCGGACATCCCGGCGTTTAATCACATTCTGGTCAATTTACTACTCGCTGAAGGGATGCAGCCCAAAGCTGGACGTTGGAATAGGCTGTTTTCTCATATAATGCCGATCTGAAAGGGCTTCTTTGTTTCTCAATCTCAACGTCTAGTTCATCGCTGCTGAGTCGTCTTCCGCCCTTATCCCGGCGGATGGCGAGCTGTGGGGTTCCGGAACCCGCTTGAAGATGTCGCCATCGCACCCATGTAAGCACGACGCGATGTCGGACACAATACCGACCCCATCCATGGTCAAAGGCTCCAATCCACGTTTTTGCTTCGCATGTGCGCCGACGAACCGCGCCCGCGCCGGCGGCCTGCATCAGGGATAGGTCGTCCTACTATGAGCGCCGCCCAGGATTGTCTCATTACGATTTACAATAACGCCACGCGAACCAAGCTTATTCCAGCCCATCGGCGAGCGGTCTCAACCAATCTAAATCAGACCTGGTATCTGACGAGCTGCAGTGTCCAGAAACTGGGGTGGGGGTTTCAAGGAGTAGACACAAAGAAAAAATCAGACTGGTGCTACATCACGGAGGTTGGCCGCTTGGGGAGTTCTCTAGAGGGAGGAATGAATATCCCGCAGAACAGCATGGGTAGAGCGATGCAGAGACCGAAGGAATCGGCAATTTCTTAAAAGCTCGACATCGAACGGACCCCATTTCCTCCCGCACTTGCATGACCTTTATCCGTTGCGTCGGGATCGAAAAAGCAACCCCAGCTGCAATGTCGTCAATCGATCAAGCAAAGCATCCACAAGAGGTTGATGAGGAGGTCCAGGATGTTCAATCTACGAAGCCTGTGTCACGTTTCACTCGCTGGTACCGCTCGCCTCTATTCAACGTCATCCTCGTGGGCCTAATCTCGTTCACTCAGCCTGGTATCTGGAATGCCCTCAACAGTATGCGAAGTCCCAAGACTTGAGAGAAATCACGGACTAATCAATACCTCAAGGTACCGGCGCTGGCGGCCAGCAAGAGCCTTACCTCGTTAATGGCTCCAACTCCCTGACCTTCGGCATCATGGTCTTTGGCTGCAGTTTTTTCGCCATCATGGCCAACAAGATCGGTCTGAAGACAGTTCTGATCATCGGTACCCTTGGTTACGCCCCGTACTCGGCGTCAATGTACGTCAACAACCGTTACGGTGTTGAATGGTTCGTGTTGTTCGGCGGCGCGACCTGCGGCATTGCTGCTTCTGCATTGTGGGCAGCTGAAGGTGCCATCGCCTTGGGATATGCCGACATCAAGGACAGAGGAAAGTTCACTGGTATCTGGCTCGGCCTGCGTGAGCTCGGTCAGCTTCTTGGCGCCGCCATTCAGCTCTCGCTGAACGTCAAGGAGAACCAGCGCGGAAAGGTCGGATACTCGACCTACCTGGTATTGATTGCCCTGCAATGCCTTGGTCTTCCCCTGGCGCTGCTCGTGTCTCCTCCACAGAAGGTCATCCACAGCGATGGCAGGAAGGTTGCCGACCCTACCAAGAACAAGGCTGTCCTAGGAGAATTCCGGAAGTGGCTGAAGCTGCTCAAGAAGAAGCAATTCTACCTTTTGATTCCCATTCTCGTCGGTTTCAACTGGAACAGCACATACCAAGGCATTTACTTGACCAAGTACTTCTCAGTAAGAGCGAGAACCCTCGGGGCCTTGACATCTGGTATCGCTGCATCTGCTGCCAACATATTCTGGGGTTGGTTCTATGACCTGAAGTGCTTCAGCCGACCTCAATTGGCCAAGATTACATGGTGCTGTTTCTCAGTCGTTATGCTGGGCTTGTTTGCATGGCAGGTGGCTAACGAGAAGCTCTACGAGGATACTGTTCCCAAAGTCACCCTCGATTGGAGCACCCCTGGATTTGGACGCGGATTTGCAGTCAATGTGCTCTTCCGGTAAGTGCACCAACGTTCCGTATTCACCTTATTTAAGCAGTACTAACGGTCCACAGCTTCATGAACGAGTCGCACTACATGTTTGTGTACTGGATCATGGGTACCTTCTTTGACGATATCGAAACTCTG